AGTAGCTAACTTTTGATTAAAACTTCCCGCCCCCTCCCCGCCGTTGTACGTAGGTATCATTCAGTCATCATCAAAAATGAAATCCGTTGATCGAATAACCGTTTCCGTTTCCGGCGCTGCGTAAAAATATCGAGAACACGCGACACACACGCCGGGCATACACATTCGACATTAGAAAATCAATAAAAGTATAGACCCGAGACGTCGGTGTCAATGTTCCATCGGCGGAACGTTCGATCACGGTTACGTTCAAATAAATTGAACAGTCTTGAATGTGGCGACATTCGAAAATTATTTATTTTATGGCCGCTCGGTTTCACAGTCGCAAATACGCCGAATCGTTTTCATCGGCGTATGTTCCGATACAACGCCGCGAAAGTACAACGGTCGTATATCTCTTATCGATCTCTTCCCTCTCTCTCTCTCTCTCTCTCTCTCTTTTTCTCTATCTTTTGTCGACGTTGCTTCCCCCTTCGATACACTTCGAGAGCCACTCGCTCGCGCACTTCCCGCGTTCTTCAAATTAATACGAATACGAATTGCCGAATGATTACGCGAGCAAAGTGATATCTGGAGTCGGTGCGGATCATTTTATTCCACGTTTCGTTTCAAGTTTCATTCAGCGGGCACCTGGGACAAAACCGCCCCGCACTCCTTAAAATCCTACAACAGCAGTTCGAAGTTTCCAACCCCTTTAGAAATGACGGGGTCATTTTCCAGTGACCTCAATCCATTTAGCGGTTATCCACCGTATCTTCAGTCGCCTGTAGGAAAAACCGTCCTCGAAACTTCTCCAATTAATATAATCGCGAAGCACGCGAGAGGATCACGTAGAATGGTAGCTGCGGCACGATTGCGGGCTGAACGATTTACCGCACTGTGAACGGCTGGCTTTACTGCCGTCAGGGGTTTATATACGCCACCACCGGAAGATGTCATCGCGAACCACTGATGCCCGTAAACACCCGTACAGTTTCGCGTCCTTATGCGTCTCGCGTTAACTTGCCGCAGCTGCGTTACTCGTCGCAGCTTCCGTAAAATTACGTCTATAACACGGCGCCAACTTCTAGCCCGATGACACGAATCGAATTCGTTCGATCGTGCTCGCAAGCTCACTTTTCATCGGGGAAATAAATTGCTTTTCGTCCAAGTCGCCCATTTAGATCGGCCTCGTGTTGCAATAAACTGACCGAGTTACGGGCGCGATTATTTCGTTGAATTGTATTTAGCGAGTGTACGGCGGAGCGTAGGTGGATTCGATAGCCTAGTTCGTTTCTCTCTGGCAGTCAACGGGACTGAGATTATCTGGGCATCAACCCCGGGTGATGCGGTTTGCAACTGACGCTTTCATTACACCACTCTTTCAGCAAGACCTCTGCCACTGAATAATACCTCGTGAACTGGTGCCAAAGGGAGCCAACCGTGTTCCCTTCTAACGTTTCGCGAGACTCGTAAGAATCGTCTGGCCATCGAGTTTAATATCCGCCCGTTTTTGTTATTCGCTCGCGCGAGCAGTTTCGCGCAAAGGAAATTGCCAGCGTCGCGATTCGAAAAAGAAAAGAGAAAAGAAAAACGCCAGTCTACTTTAATGACTCGAGCGAAATCCTTTGAACCGTCGATCGCGGAAAATCCCGTGAATTTTTACTTCCAAGAGTCTGACCATCCCGCGCGCGTCGTAAATTTTTCCATCGTAAATTTTCTTCCATTCGCAGGACACACGGATTACTTGCGGGGCTGCATGGCTGACATCATATACAATGGCGCCAGAGTAATAGAATATGCCAAGTCGAGAAAAGGCCAGTCAGAGGCGACCGCCGTTACGTGGAGCTGTTCGCCGGAATTCGACGCCACGAGAAGCACGGAAGTTAGTTTCGTGGAGGATGGTGCGTTCACAGCGATCCCAAGACCTATTCCACGCTCCGGCTCCAAGTACGTAGTTAAAACGCCTTTTCACCGTGTAAATTAAACATCTAAGCGCGCGCGCGCCTTTCGAGACCCGACCCGCTCGAAAATGGCCTTAAATCTCTCGTATGTTTCAACTAAATTAATTAATTTTCTCGTGAAATTTTCACTTCAACGGAAACGTTGTCTCCTCCCTAATCGTTAATCGCTGCTTTTTCGCGACACGCGATCCGCATCGCGGATGTGAAACGTAGAGTCGCCCGATTGAAATATATATGCGTGCGTGTAACCATATTCGATTTTGTAACGGGAAATAAATCGATCTAACGAAATTATGGCCGTACGAGCCTCGGCGTGTGACACTTCGTCAACTGAACGGCTGTTATTAGCGGTTTCAGAAATTGTCGATAGACGGGCCAAACCGCTATGGATACAAACTAACGACAATATTTGATGCGTTCCTGTTTAAAGCATCGAGTAAATATAGAATCCAGTTTCCAAGTCAATTTTAGTGCCAGTTTGCGATTGTCCGCGCGCTTATCAAAACCAACCGGCGGGTATAAGTTAGCGAACGCGTCGTGCCAACCGTTGGCTAATCGGATAAACGATTTTTATCAGAGACGAAACGGAACGACTTGATTTCCTTTAAATTTAAATTGGATTATATTTCAAGCGATTTATTCGTATTCAAAGAGATCAGTTGGTTCTTCTTTCCTTTCTCTCTCTCTCTCTCTTTTTTTTATCGAACGTACTCTCATATTCTCTTTATGGCAGACACTATGGTCGAGTGGAGTTCTTAACTTCGCAGCGAAACCTTTGACGAATGCCGGTGCTACTTCTAACGACAAAAGCCAACGAGAATGCTCGTAAAACGTCTTCGAAAGCATCAAACAAAAACTGCAATCGCGTTACGACAAAGACGTCGCAGTTAGAACTCGGGCTGATACGTGTCCTCGTATCCTCTAAGAAAACACTTTGATCTCATCTCTCGGAATAACAAAAACTCTTTCAGGGATAAAAGGTACGATTAGTTCGACGAATTGCACCGAGGTTCCACTCGAATACACGAGAATACACGAGAAATCGATTCATTACGTTTAATTATGCGTTCGTCGATATATGCATATATGGATATTTAAATCATCGCCGAAATAAGCCTCGTCGTCAATAAGATCGGATCGAGTCGGACTTTTTACGCGGTTATTTTCATTTGAATTTTAAACGGCGTCGCTTTGCATGAATTTGGCACGATATGCAAAAGAGTATGCATACCGTGCCGGATAGCGGTAGAATTCCTTTGACACGATAATATCGCGAAAATCTCCCTCCCCGATAATTAAAACACGAATCATCGACTTATCTTTCTCGATTAACAAATATGCAGTATCCGCAGCATTTACTCGAGCTCGATACTTTCTCTCTCTCTCTCTCTCTCTCTCTCTCTCTCT